TGTGTGCCGTTGTAGAAGAAAAGGGGAAAGGCGCAATGTGCTGCTGCAATCAGCGTGCTGGAAACTCGAGGCTTGAAACCATACGTAACTTTTAACAGTCTAATGCAGCGGGGGATCTGCGGGACGCGTTCAGTCCGTAGGTTCTTGCGGAAATTGTTTTCTCGTTTCTTCAGTTCTTAAAAGAGGATATGCAACTTGGTGGATCAGATCGTGCACAGCGTGAACGCGTTTTCCATCACAATAATGACGAATTGATCACTGTTGATGATATGTGGGAAGCATGGTTTGCATCTGAGGAACGTTCCTGGACAACTGCTGATCTGGTGAAATGGCTCGAAAACTCGGTCCGTCTTCCACAGTACGCGTCCATATTTATTGGCATGGAAATTGATGGTCGTAGTTTGCCGAGGTTGGTGTTCGTCCTTTGATCCATATCTTGAACTAACAAAAACGGAAAGCTTTTCGAGCGCAACGATAGCACCCAGCAAATGCACGTACAACGAGTGATAGCTCTTCAGAGTGTAACTCTTACCATTCGGGAACAAATGTAAATTCGCCCTCATCCATGCGGCTTGCAGCTTTTTCCAGTTGCTTTGACCAGCGTTGCATCGCTCGGAGTTAGCTTGATTCTCTTCTTTGTTTCATTTGCTCAAGAGTTTACCAGTCTCTCGACAGAAGCACTGGCTCTGTTCTGTGCTCGCATAATAGAACTTGAGTAATTTTCATACCCCCAGTATCACCAGTCCAGGTTTACGGGAATGTATGTGTTCTCTACTCCCAGGCGAGTGATTTGCTTGGGATCTGTAAAATCAACTTTTTGTGCGTTCTTTGCATTTATGCAATACAAAAACTCACGGCTGTGCTTGGGTAAACATAAATGGAAATGATTTTCACAATCCCCTTTACATCTTGTTCAAGGACGTGGAAGATTGACGTTGACAGTTTTGCAACTCTTAATTTAACTACCTAGAAAAATGAGATTTTTTGAGCACACTCCGCGGTCTTGTGTAAGAAAACACACCCAAAAGTGACTGGGGAATTTGCCAACTGCACAGCCAAAGAAATAGGCTGTGAATAACAACCGGCTCTTGTAAGCAGGTAACATAGGGAGTAAAAACAAGGTAATAAGGTAAATTTTGGTAATGACTGATACTACAGTTGACGCGTTTTAGGATGGCAGTTGCCAATTCGACGTATTTGGCGTCTGATTTAGGCATCAAAAATCCTGTTC